ATACTTCGTACATTCCATGTTCTGATTTTCAAAGGATGTTTACAGCTGTTTCTCTTCATTTTGAGTTGTGCCCCATCAGCAAATGAAGGTCCTGTGGGCTTTTCTCCCATGGGCTTTACTCCGTTCGTATTATCATGGTCAACTCTACTTTGAGGAGGCAGCTCTTCCCCAGTCGCATTTTGAGTTTCTTCCAAACGGAAGGGTTCATTTTCCAGCACTATATCTGACAGTGTTTTTCTGCTATTCATATGGTTTTCAGTGACTAAATATTCGGAAGTAGCTCGTCTCTCTTTCTTCCTAGTCTGTCTTTGTCTGGAAACTCATCTGAAACCTGTCCACCATGGGTGACCCTGCTGGTAGCTTCTTACATTTAATCAAAAATGTAATGAATGAGTCCTGGTGTGGCACTGTGGGATAAAGCACTGGACCACAAGGTCAGCTTGACCTGTAAGGTCAGTAGTTCAAACCCACCAGCTGTTCCACAAAAATCCTATACAGGGTTGCAAAAAGTTGGAACCAACTTGAATGCAACTAACAACAACAATGTGATGGTTAGAACTGTGACTGCCTTGGCAGGGCCAGACCAAATGATTTTGTGGGCCTTATATGGCTCATGGGCCACACATTCCTCACCCCTGATTTATAGAATATAATCTCCGGATGGTACAAATGGTTAATAATGTATTTGACTGTCAACTGAAAGGTTGGAGACTTGATTTTATACAGAGGCATAAAAGATTTTCTTTAAGAAGAAAGACCTGGTGATCTACCTCCTAAAATAAGTAAATAGATAATCAGATATTAAAAACATTATGAAGACTACTACAAGAACAAGCAAGTTGCTTGCCCAGGAAATATCAAGGCAAGTGGTAAGATCCCCCTCAGGAAAAATCCCCTTCCAAGACTAAAATTCAGTGGGAATACATGAGCAGACATGCACTCTGGTTGGTGACCACATTGGTTATGGATAAGGGGAAGTGAGGGGAAAACAGCAATGCTGTTGCAAGCTAAGCCCTATCAGGTTCAATAGACTCCTATGAACCCAGGTGGAGACCTGGTTGGCCAGCACTATGGCAAGACCTGGGAACTCCTGGGCCCAGTGCCAGTGATATAGCCACAGAGGGCTAGAATGGAGAGTGAAGCATCCAGCTGATAATCAGTGAGGTGATATGTACAAGAACACCCACAATTGCAGATAATACCCACTTGACCTGCCTTCAATGGATGGATGATCAGAACCCAATTAGAAGAAGAGGAAAAAAAAGAGTAATCAGATACAATTTGATGAACTTGACATACACATATGGATGCAGTAGTTCAAAAGAGGGAACAAATCTTTAAATGAAGATCATTCCCAACCCCTTGATACACAGGGTAGACAGGGATGGGCAACTTGGACATTGGCTACCCAAAATGGGGTACAATTTTGGTACAAAGGCAAGAAGTAACTGGCTTACAAGCTTTCAAGAGGGATCCTAGATCCAGAAGGCTTGGAGGAAGGTAGAATCTCCACTGAGTAATATCTAATCTGTCAGGGCATGGCTGATGAAAGGAGATGGGGCTAGGACTCTTGTGGTACAATAGTGTATAATTGCTATCAGGACTGACTGTGAGGGTTGGAAATGTAAAGGTAGACATTTTGTAGCAAAAGGAGAGGAGTGGTTGACTTTGCAGTCCAGGAGCGGAGGTCCCTGGGACCATCAAGTGAGAATAGCAGAGTGTGGGATCCTATCCAGAGAAGCAGTAATGCCAGAGATGGTGGCTGAGACTATGATGTGGAGAGATGGAGTGGCTGGCGACACTGGACTCAGGGAGGGAGAGGGGCTGTGTGCTGACGACAGAGGGACAGGCTTGCAGAGTATACCCTTTGATTGGTTGATGATGCATGGAGAGGATTGTAACTATGGCAATGACAAGATATACGAGAGAGTATGAATGTATAGCTAACATTCTCCCATGTAAACAATCACATAATTCACAATAAAGCATGAACACACACACACACACACACACACAAAACATAATGGAGCAGTTATACTCTGATCCATGCATTTGTTTTTTCTTGTTTTTTTTTTTTTTTTTTTACTTCTTCACTTTCTTTCCAGAATTGTAAGATATAGCTTAGATGGATAATGAAGACAGAAACTAAGTTTGGTAGCTTCCACAGGCATGCTTTTATCACCAATTCCAATTAAGCCAATGGGATTTCCTAGGTTTTCTAGAAACTGTGCTGAGAAGCTTGACAGGGTCTTGACTGCCTACACTTCTAGGCACTATGACCAACTCTGGGTGTGATTATGTTTCTCTGTGTCTGAATGTTGGTGGTGTTGAATAGAGTGTGCATTGAATATTGAATCATTGTATACAAGAACATGAGAATCAATGAATAAATAAATAAATAAAATAATATGCAATTAAATTTCATGAGTGAAGCCCATTTTAAAAAAGAGAAAATTAGAAGTGGGATTAAGAGAAGGTTTTTTTTTTTTTTCCTTCTCACCTCACTGTCATCCTCTGCAGAGTAGAAAAAAAAAAAGAGAGAGAGCTATAAGAGTTACCAATGAATGATTTTGTCTGTGTTCTTATAAAACTTTCCTACAAGTGGTAATTATTCTCTTTTACAATTTCAGCTATTCACGTTGATAAAGTCAATCTTAAACTCTACTGTATATGGGCACTTCTGGATAACTTTGAGTGGACCCAGGGTTATAGCCACCGGTTTGGTCTCTTCCATGTTGACTTTGAAGATCCAGCTAGACCTCGAACCCCTTACACGTCAGCCAAGGAGTATGCCAAGATCATCCAAAACAATGGCCTAGAAGAACCCTAGAAAAGTTGGCAGCGAAAATACCACCTGGAGAAGAGGCTTCACACAACATCAAGTTAGCTATTTAATTGCCAATTCTTACCAGCTGATCTGTAATGTTGATGTCTGAATACGTAATGCTACAATAAGTATTTAATGATGACCTTTAATCTATTTGTACTTGGATCAATGAAGTTTTTAAAAAATTGAATAGAAAACTACTGAAATTGGTTTTTACATTAAGAAATCCAATAAACTTGGAAACTTCTATTCAAATAAAATCATTAGATTTTTTTTCTGTATAAAAATCTTATGAAAATAATATGCTCATGATTTGTAACTAACCGTGGACTTATAATATGTGTTGATGAGTCTATTTTTTCTGGCTACATTATCTATTATTTGTCTAGTAGATTCATTATTGTATGCTCCATAATTTTTCTACTGTTTAATGTAAGAAAAACAAAGTTAAAAGTTGATCACATTTTTAGAATTATTCATTTTCTTCAACAAAAGAATTAATGAATAGCCTATTTAATACAATGGATTTGTGGGTATATTCGGCACATATTCTATCTATGCCTAAAAAAGTACACCTTTCTCTTGCCTGATGTCTTTTGGAAAAATAATAAACTATACTAGACTTTGAATGGCAGAAAAAAATTTGATGGTTTATGTTCAGCAAATCCTAGTTTTCTATTCCAAAGGATCACTAAATAAAAAGTAAAGTGATAAATGCATCACAGTGTTTATCTTGAGTAATTTTTAAATTACGAGTTGGACTGAAAACCTCAAGGTCAGCAGTTTGAAACTACCAGCTGTTCTATGGGAGAAAAATGAGGCTTTCTGCTACCATAAAGACTATTACAGCCTAATAAACCCTATACAGGGTCGCTATGAGTAGGGACCATGGCACACAACTACAACCACCACAAATTTGATGATTAAATAAACATGGCACACGAATAGGATGATCGACAGGTGTGTAAGCAAGAGGAATGATTCGTTATATTGGTTGTTGAAAAACCTAAGTTGTAGATGGAAAAGTTACTGGTTTGAATTTACCCACTCGTTCCTCTGTAGAAAGTGCTGGCGACCTACTTGTGACAGATCACTAAAACACCAAAACCAAATCCCTACCATTAAGTCAGATTTTGACTCATAGTAATTCTGTAGACCCTAGTCTGCAAATCTTTACAGAGACTGTAGGGTGTGAACTGCTGACCTTGAAATTAACAGTCCAATGCCTGTTAATTTCACAGTGCCACCATTAAAAACCTTAAGGAACACAATTACACTCTAAAATGTATGGGTCACTATGAGGCAGCTTCGGCTTAAGTGTTCGTTTTCAGTTTGCATATTGGAGTTGGGGGTTTATCTGAGCTTCATTATTAGAGGTCAGTAGTGGGTAAAGAGCTTCTACTTGATTCCAAGTGTCCCCTCCACCAAACCTGTCACAAAATATGTTGTTGTTGTTGTTAAGTGCTGTCGAATTGGTTACGACCCATAGCAACCCTGTATAGGGTTTCCAAGGAGACGCTGGTGAGCTTGAACCACCAACCTTGAAGTTCAAACGGCTTTGCAGTCTGGCGCATTAACCCACAGCCCCACACAAGGACTCCACTTATGTATACAGCCAAGTGTTATTTACTGTTGTCCTTGTTATTAGGTACTGTCCAGTTGGTTCCAGTTCACAGTAACCCCGTGCACAACAAAACAAACCACTGCCCAGTCCTATGCCATCCTCATCATAATTGTTCTACTTGAGCTCATTGTTGTAGCTACTGTGCCAGTCCTCACTGAGGATCTACCTCTGTTTCATTGGCTGCAAGAATGATACCAACCATTCCTCCTCCAGTACTCTCTACTCCTTTACTGGACTCCTTCATTCATTACAATGGCCACAGAACTCAGATACCATAACTTGTAGTTATGGGGTTTATTAGGATATTTAACATGCTACAATTCACGGTCAGGAAAGTTCAGGACATGGTTCTTCCCACTAGGACAGTTTCTCCTCTGCCATGCTGATAGGCTGACCTCTTTCTGTGCTAGGGCCCCTTGGCATAACTTCTACCCTGTGGGCGCAATATTACAAAGCTCTTGCAGGGCTGCTGATAAATGCCCACAAGACCTGTTACTCTACCCTAAGCTTCATCCTGAAGGCACTTGACTCTAGCTCCATGGGTCAGCAAACCTAACTCCCTTGGAGGCAACCCATTTTGCAAGTAAACCTCCTGCCCAATGACATTCAATTGTATTTGCTCTGCTTACTGGCAGGCCCACCGTTCTGTCTTATGCGCTGGCTTTTGATTCTGCTGTTTTGTTCCTGGGTCACACCTCCAGTGTCAGCTTTCTGATCCTGGGTGGAGGTGGTTCAATGTGCAGGAAACTTAGGGTCCAAAGGGCACATCCACTGTTGGCTCTTCTTATTTAACTATAGTGAGAGCCCCCTCCTGCTTCTGAGATGACTCATTTCATACATTTTAGAGTTCCAAGGGTTTACAATCCCCATTAACCCTGTTAGCCACTGACAATGGAATCTCATAATCCTATCAGCATCCTCTCCCACCTTCTCTTACTCAGACTCTGAGGGTAAACCTGTTGTCTGGTGGGAGTTACGAAGACTAAGGCTAAAAGAGACATAATAAATAATTCACTACACCACAGGCTGCTCCCTGGCTCTTCCATCCACCATTCCTTTCCTATATACAGGGTTTACCTCTTTATAACAATCACTTTAATTGTAAAAGCATGAAATCCTGTAAACCAACCACTTCCTGCTCTTATCGCCTCCCATTTTCGATATCCTGCTTCAAATTGCCTGTTTCCAAAACCCAGTACTCTAAGGAGATAAGCGTATTCCTTGATGTGAAGAATCTTCTGTTCCTGTTGGAAACTTGGGCATATGCATTCATAAGCAAAGTCCTGTAAATCACAGCAATTTATACCAGCTCACAGTGTCAAATCTCTCTCTGCATTTGGTCAGATTCTGGTTAATTCAGCCCTAGTTATCCAAGACTCCTGGTGTGGCACTGTAGGATAAGCACTGAACTGTGAACCACAAGGTCAGTGGTTCTTCAAACCCATAAGCAGCTCCTTGGAAACGCTGTAAAGGGTTGTTGTGAGTAGGAACTGACTCAACAGCACTTAACAATAACAGCAACATCTAAGGTAGGTCAAATGGCTACCAGCTTCAAGCTAGGGTGTCCACATATACCTCCTTGCACTTCAGACCAGCTGGGCACTTCTGTCTCTCTCTCAGGCCTAGCCTCAATGGGTGAAGTCATGTAGACACAGAAGTCCACACAACTTCAGACTAGACGTCATACTGGACAACCCTTCCTCTCTGCTCTCAATTGTCTTTTCTTTACTGCATTCTCCCCCACTTCCACTCATCAAGAGGACTCAGTTGGTCACCAGAGAACTTACCAGACTGTCTGCTCATCAGCTTCCTTTAACTTCCAGCCCTAAAATGGAATTTTCTCTGATGGGCACATACTTTTTACTGCCTTGATGAATCTAACAGCAAACTGCTTACTTGAAATTAACAAAATAAAAAGTCAAACAGTCTTTGTTTTTTCTGTAGGTCTTTCCTTCACAGGTAAATCAACTATCCTCTCAGAAGTTCTGGATGGGACTCCAGGTTTTCACCTAAGTCCCTATACTCGACAAAGTCTTAAAATGAAAATCCAGTTTCTTCTGGGTGATTTCTAACTCCCCTTTTAGCATAGACAATCAAGAATAGGCTGAATGTGGGCTTACAAGTTCTCTGTAATCATGACTGCCCAGTATTCACTCCTATTACACATGAACATAGGGCCTGTGGATAAAGCAGACTCTGGTCCCTTCTCAGTCATTTGGTTTAACCTGCCTAGCTTTTCCTGCACGTGATTTCATTAGCTGCTTTTCTGTTGCCAGCTGCAGCATAGCATCTCTTACCTTCCTTTGCATTACAGTTCATAAAATAACCACCGAGGACTCAAATGTTTTACTTTCCATGTCCCTTTGTGCTTTCTCTTACAAAGTCCAAGTTTCCATGTGTCTGGAGCCATTGCAGTGAATCCCACTCTTGATGCCAAGTACAAGATACGATACCAACCACCCATCCCCCTCGGCACTCTCTACTCCTCAGCTATGTTCTATAATTCATTGCAGTGGCCACACAGAGCCCAGACACCATACTCAAAGCTGGCTATGGTGTTTATTAGGGAATTCAGTAGGCTACAGTTCAGGGTCAGAAATATTCAGGGCACAGTTCTTCCAATCAAGATGGCCTCTCCTCTGTCACTGCCCACAGGCAGGCATCTCTCTGGCCTCCACCTCCTTGGACTGACCTCTACCCTGCTTGAGCAATGCTGTGAAACTTTTTTAGGTCTGCTGATAAATGTTTACAGGACATATTACTCCACTATAAGCCTCAACCTGAAGGCACTTGGCTCTAGCTCCATGAGTCAACAAAACTTAGCTCCCTAGGAGGCATCTCACTCGGCAAGCAAACCTCCTGCCCAGAGACACTCGCTTTTACTTGCTTTGCTGGCTGGCAAGACCACTATTCTGTGACACACTCCTGCCCTTGATTCTGCTGCTGTTATTCCTGGGCCATTCCTTTAGTGTCAGAGTTTTCTGACCTTGGGTGGAGGATGTTCAATATGCATGGATTCCAGGGTTCAAAGGACACGCTCCACTCCTGGCTCCTCATATTTAAAGGTAGTGGAATCCCTCTTACAGTTTCTGAGATGGCTCATTTTATATACATTAGAGTTCCAAGTTTTTACAATCACAATGAACCCTGTTAGCTACTCCCAACTGATAATATAAATTACATTATATAATCCTATCAGCATTTTCTCCCACCTTCTCTTACACAGAGCCATCAGGATAAACACACTGTACAGTGGGAGTTACAAAGACTAAGGCTAGAAAAGTCATATTATATAATTCGTTGCATCACACTGATCGCCTACCAAGCACAAGGTTCTTCTCCAGGGACTGGACTCTTCTGAGGACGTGTCCAAAGTATATGAAATGAAGTCTCACTATACATGCTTCCAAGGAGCATTC